GGAAGCTGTTATCCTGGGTAGTAACTTATGGAAGACAAATGATGAAATTAAAATTCTACTTTTAAACACTTCTAATCTGAAATCTACAATGAACAAATTAAGAATAATGTAAGAAAAAAAAAGCATTTAGTCTAACATAATTTTCACTACAGACATAGACATAAAAGTAACTATTGTTTATTAATACTATTGATTACTATAAATTAACCTAACAAATATTTTGCAAGTTTTTCAATAAATTTCTAACAGTTGTGAAGGTCTTTGTAATTTCTATGTGAGTGAATGAGATCCCAATAAGAATGAGATACGGTATGAAAGTAATCGTAACACATCGAAATCGTTATCACCTTTTAAACTGTTATGAAGACAGAATCAGAGTCATTGTCACTCTTCAAACTGTAATATGTGATAATAGTATACCAAAACCCTTGTCAGTTTTTACAAAGTGTTGTGTAGAGTACATCAAAGTGCTAGTAATGTACCGAAATTGTTGCCATTCTTTAAACTGTATTCTCAAGACAGGACCAAAATGATCATAATAATACCGCAATCATAACACACCAAAATCTTGTCATTTGTGGCATAAGAACTAGAACAGATAGAACTTATTGTGTTCAAACATTGTTATAACGTTTATGAAGAAAAGATGCAATTTGGTCACGATACTTAAGTTGTATAATTCATTAGAACAAAACCAATACCAGAAAGATAATACAGCGTTTTTCCTATCCTGTTGTTCGTACATGAGCTCTGGTATAGGGTGAAAGTCCTCGGCACTGGATATAGCAGATGTAGTGTACTTGACATATATTGTGGTTTGCTTTCACTCACGAGTTGTTAGAATATACTGAAAATTTCTGACTATAGTAGGCGTATTTGTCACCTGTTACAATGTCTCGTGTTGAATGAAGTTTCTGTTATTCTTATTATCCTCATTGTTTTCACTGTCGAACTTGTAACGTTTGTTTACATAAATAATAGCAGTCAGAAACCGTGAACCCCTATAACACTGTTCTGTTTCTTCGTAAATGTCTACATAAATAATAGCAGTCAGAAACCGTGAACCCCTATAACACTGTTCTGTTTCTTCGTAAATGTCTACATAAATAATAGCATTCAGAAACCGTAAACCCCTATAACACTGTTCTGTTTAAATGTCTACATAAATAATAGCAGTCAGAAACCGTAAACCCCTATAACACTGTTCTGTTTAAATGTCTACATAAATAATAGCAGTCAGAAACCGTAAACCCCTATAACACTGTTCTGTTTAAATGTCTACATAAATAATAGCAGTCAGAAACCGTAAACCCCTATAACACTGTTCTGTTTCTTCGTAAATGTCTACATAAATAATAGCAGTCAGAAACCGTGAACCCCTATAACACTGTTCTGTTTCTTCGTAAATGTCTACATAAATAATAGCATTCAGAAACCGTGAACCCCTATAACACTGTTCTGTTTCTTCGTAAATGCCAGGTTAGTCGCACCGTCCTGTACTGTTGGCGATTTTCTACACAAAACTGATAGCTGCACGTTTTCTAGTTCGTGTTATTAATTGTTCTCGTTGTCTGAAAGTCAATATATTTATAACACAACACAAGAATTGCTGAAGTTTCGCAAAAGACATACACATATATGTGTATGTGTTGCAGACACACTTACACGATGCGTTTTTATTTGTCTGAGTCACGAATTCTTTGTTTCTTTATATATATATGTATATATACTTGCAATACAAATATCACATTTGTTGTTAATCTTCGCTGGTGTGATAATGAAACTAAATATGAAAGTATTGTGATTAGGTTTCAAATAATACATAAATGTATGCCAGTCTATAAAATAAGCAAGGGCTGAATTTGAAATGAGTAGAGGTAACAAGTGTAAAGTGTAAGTATTAAATATATCTATGTATATCACATTCGCACATATTATACTTATTTGAGCCATTGTAAGATCAATGTTCATAAAAAGAATCGTTACTTGATTACCGACGTTGAAAAGAAATGAGTATTTAAAGAACAGTGTGCTTATGATCCTATATAATTCCAAGTCTTGTCGTTACTGTATACCATCGTGCTGAAAGAAATTTTGTATTTTACGATGTTTTTATTTTCTAATGTTGAGAGATAAAAATAAATAATGCATCATAACTATTACTATATCATAAGCGCTCGCTAAAGGATAAAAAACATGAAACCTTATATGACCAAATCTCACCCTTTGCTTTTTCAGCTGAAAACTTATTGGCGTACAAAGTTTCCTCTGCTGTTTCGCTGCCTGACTGCCTTCTTTGTTGTTGAGGTTCTTTCTCTAGAAAATACGGATCTGAAATTATAGATAACTTACACTTTTTTAGTGGAGCTTCTTCATTCACAATATTACTATCGTTGATTAGATTCTTTATTAAGAAGGAAGAAGAGCGAGAATTAGACACGCACTGGTGTAAGTTTTTAGGTTGTAACTTGTTCTGGAAGTCTTCATGGTCGTTTGATTTGTTATCAGTGGCCACAGTCGTAATATTTGATAACGTATTGATGTCTTCTGGTCGCTTCTTGCCGGTATAAGTGTCAGTATTCACGATCATATTGCAATGAATGTCGCACTTCAACATCATCATTATCCAGGCTTGGTACTTAAACGTTCATGGTAAGGGAAAGAAATCCGAAGCAACAGGAAAGCATGCTGCACAAAAGTAGTTAAAATAAATCTTACCTGTAGCGGGCGAATCTAACCAACTGACACACAGCAAGACGTACACAGGCAAACGTCACAGTTCTCTTGACCACCTACAAATCACAGACATGCATAATAAATTAAGCACCGCCTACTATCTAAACTGCCAATGTGTTTATTTGAAAACCACTCATCCGTTTTCACTACCTCAAAACAAAGCACAGGAAAGTTCTGCATTAATATTAGTGTAGGGGAAGGTCCTCAAAAGAGCTTATCTTTCAAGATTCGTTCAAGACTCTTTAAGGAAAAGGCCTGACAAAACCTTTATAAACATTTACTTTTTTGTTGGAAAGTCAAAATGTGGTATCAGTATTTTTTCATCATACTGAATACTCCCAACCAAGATGTGCTGACGCAAAATTAGAATTAACACCCATTTTTCTATTAAACATAAAATTAGAATTAAACATGCTACAGATTTCATATTCTTAGTACAAAATTGTTAATAACATTTTTCACTAGTGTAGAGCTAGAAACACATATGATGAACCAGTCAGAAGCCGTGAATGAAAATATTGTATACAAAATCTATTTTCACCTCACAGCTTCCTCTGCAAACACAGCAGACCTTTCTAAATATAGGGAAATTGTGACTTACAATAACTTTCATAATTAGCTTGTGTAGCAGAAGTCGAAGCAGTTTTTTAATACAAATGAGCGTAAACTAATTTCATTTATCATTTGCATATGTACAGTCAACAAATATGCTGTATTGTAAATTGATAGCAATGAGTCTTATTACAAAGTAAAAAACAACCAGGGAAAAATGTAAGCAACTCCCTTCATAACGCACTGTCTGTATTTATCAGAGAGCTAGTCTGATCAAAATTTGGATGAATAATACACTGAACACCACTTCAAAACAGTTACCTATTATACTAAAAGCTGACTGAACAGAGTGATACTTGGATTAACCCGAGTAGTGTTGGTACACTAGGGATTCTTATTAAGAGTTCTAGCTAAATGCTGAAATTATCTTTAGAGTAGAAACATCATGTGGTCAAGAAGTACTGAGTTTTATGATGTAGTATATTTTTATTGTGAACTGTGTATCATCGTGGCTAAGAGCTGTCTTGTTGGTCTATATATAGTTAATATGTCTTTAAACATGTAAGTACAACTGACTATAAGAAATGTACATTATTAGTAAAATGTTGTGTATGTGCTAGATCATGTTATACTTGAATTTAAATGACATATACAGTTCGAGTTCCTCAGGTTTATGATGAGAAACTTATGACCGACTCTGTGTAGTAAATATGTATTAATATATATATTCAGAGTACTTTCCAAATGAGTGCATTCATAGTTTTGATTACAGTAAATAAAAATACAATAACCATTCCTAAACACTTCATATTGAATTAAAGGAATACTTAATATCAGACTTTATACAGAATTAGTAACATTTCTAAGCAGTTGTTCCAGTTTACATGTACTCTGTTTAATGTTTGCTTTTGCTCGCTAGAAGTCCGCTTTTTGTAATACCTGTTTAACTGCATATAGGTACATAATAATTAGGTTTAATAAGCTAATGAAATTTCAAACCTTCATGGATGTTTTTGTGTTAAAAAAAAAGAGATTGATGTGCTACATAGCTTCTGACTGGATGTTACTGAATGAAACTACTCTTACATAACCCAACGAAAATCCGTTGTGATTTTTGCTTTAATTCTGAGAGCTGTATAATTCAAAGGTTCACAGGAAAAACTACTAGTACAAGTTCTTTTTACGACATACCTTAGGGAATCATCTATTCCAGAAAATCAAATCTGACCATTTTTTCAAAACTCCGAAAACCCAAATATTACATGTAAGCTATGTAGAAAATATGTTATATTCTAGTCTCCTAGATCATGTAATATCTTGACATCCAGATTCTGATGGAGGAAATACTATATTGACATCGAGAGTCCACTGGAGCAGGTAATATACCAAACAGTGGACGTCAGTGTATAAGCTGCTCTAGCAGAATCAGGATGTTAGTATAGTATCTGCACTAGCAGATTTTGGATGTCAAGATATTACTTGCTCCAGCACTCCAGCAGACCCTGGATGTTCTGCTCCAGAAGGTAATATCCTGATATCCAGAGACTATTAGAGCAAGTAATATCCTGACATTCAGAGTCTGCTGGTGCAGGTAATGTATTGTCATTCAGAGTCTACTATATCAACTAATTTTATTATACATTCAAAGTCTGCTTGAGGATCTAGTTTACTGCAGCAGACAATTTCGTAGAATTTTTTGTCTGTTTGACGATCTAATTTCTTGAGATTCAAAATGTTCTATAGCAGACAATTTCTTAAAAATAAATCCAGACTGATGGTACAATTAATTTCTGTACATTATTGGAGCAACTGATAACACTGGATAAAAAAACTAGAATAAAACACAAGTGATTCGGCGTAACTTAATGGTACTGATTTTAAAAATTTTGTCAGAATTTGTCAATCACTTCTAAATTTTGAGATATTTTAATATCTGAGTATTTTATCATCACTATGTGAAATACCATGCATTCAACTCAGTAAAATATATTTATGCTGTGAAATTAAGTTTAGTTGGACAGTTTTACGGGTAAAAAACATATATTTTTGATAACTTCAAACACTGACTGTATTATAATGGTGTAAAATTCCAAAAATATTGTTCATATATGCTATTGGTTCTCGATATAATTATAGCAAATTGCACCACTAATGTTTCATTCCTGCGCTCACCTGCTTCCCATGGGAATCAGGAAACCCTCACATGGCCAATTTGCTAGAATATTCGAGAAGTTTCCCGACTGAGCAAAAATAAGGACGGAGTCAAGCGCTTTTCTCTCAGTTACCTCTCATTCACTCAGTTGGTTACTTCGCCTCGCTCCCACACACTGTCAAAACAAAATCCGATCTTTTTCCTCACATCATACCCGCAATAGAATCATATTCTGCAAAAAAAAAATGTTTTAAAAATCTTTTTAAACTCTCATTTTGTAAACACGAATTCTTTTATGTGTTTTAGAAAATCATTTGAAATGCTGGCCGCCTCCCGTTCAAGTCAAGTCCAAATGTGCAAAAATCACCCAAACAGTTTCTGCCACACTTGTGGAAAATATATTACAGTTTCACGAAGAAATAACATCACAAAGAAGGTAAAGGTAGTTTACTACTACTATTTTGGGTATAAAATTGGTGACTAAGAAAAACATTGGGCTCCACATGTGTGTTGTACATTTTGCACATCTGGTTTGGCACAGTGGATGAATAAGAAAAAGTAAGAATGCCAAAGATAATCTAACTGACTGTTATTTTTGCATGACTAATGTTTCTGAATATCCAAGCAAAACTAAACAACGCATTAAATATCCAGATATTGCATCTGCAATGAAAACAGTATTTCATGGGGATCATCTTCCGGTGCCACATCCACTAGCGAATTGGGATACAGAAGAGTTATCCTGCGAAGAAGACAATGAATCATCTTCACCTTCTTCATCTAGTAATTCTATTCCTGTGGAACCTCAATATAAACTGCCTCATCTTATCACACAAGAAGAGCTAAATGATCTGATTCGTGACTTGTCTCTATGAAAGCAGCATGTATAACTTCTTGGTTCTTGTTTACAGCAATGGATTTTATTAGCTCCAGGAACAAGAGTTTCAATTTACCAAAGTTGCCATCAAAGTCTTGCTTCTCACTACAGCATGCAAGAGACTTTATGTTTATGTTCAAATGTTGATGCACTAATGAAAAAATTAGGTACTGAACATCATCCTCAATAATGGAGACTTTTTACCGACTTATCTAAAGTTAGTTTGAAAGCTGTACTTTTGCACAATGGGAACACTAAGCCATTGATTTATGTTGCTCATGCTGTGAACATGAAAGAACTTGTCAAAGCATGCAGAGTATACATTCTTAAATGTAATTTCCAATGAATAAATAGTTATTACAGAAAAAAGTTATTTTCACGACACATAAGATTATTTTGAATAAATCTATCATAACTCGAAAACTCGATGTGATCAGTCATCATCGTTAAATTACTCACAAACAGTTACATTTTTTTCTAGTAGCAGAGGGTTTTTTTTTTGCGCCGAGTGTTATCTACTGTTTAAAGTTAGCTACAAAAGTTAATTTCCTCGTATTGAGAATATTGTTACGTCTCCGTTCGTTAGTTAATTTTCCGTGAATTCGTTCCGACAAAACTTTAGCGACACAAGTCCTTTCTTAAATAAAACTGGTTAATTCTTTCTGAATATAACTTTGCGATACACTTAATTTCAACAGTCGCGCTATAACAACGAACGTCTCACGTGCTCAACTTCAACAATACTCCGTTCAATTACACACTCTCTGACTGCAGTTCAATTACTCATTACCTCCGCGTCGCTTCGTGGCCGGTCTTATATATACAAGACTACACTATATCTAGTAATCTCCCGACAATTCACGAAGGTTCGAGAAGGACGTGGCGTGATACTAATCACGTGACCTCGCTGATTCAACAATATGTTGCAACACTTAATTGAATGAAATTCAGAGGGCACTGGACCAATTATTTTTTTTTTGAAATTCAAACATTTGCTGGGGCAGTTCTTTTCCCGATGAAATCATTTTTTTTGTGAAAAATCATTATATTTTACTGTAGGAATACTTAGATGAACACCTTTCCTCGCTTTTGATGTTAGCAGAATTATTGTGATAATCAAGACGTATTATGTTGAAATTTCCTGGCATGAGCGGGAAATCGGAAGTCCTAGTGAATGCACTGGTTCAAATTAATTGACTGGAATAGTTCTTTAGTATTACCCTACAGTGGAAGTCAAGAAAACAATACAAATACCAAGTTTTGATTAAAAAGAATTAATATACGCCTATGTGTAGATGAGAAA